GCCATCCCTACCAGCTTGACCATCAGGGCGTCTCAGTGGGGAGGGGCCCATCTGGCAGGTCAGCGTCGGTGAACGTGATGGACTCCCTCTTTGGTTTCTTCTCGTGGGAGGTACGTGTGACCTCCCCTACGTACAAGCTCCTCGCCCACTTCTTCTGCTCGGCTGGCGAGTCCCCTCCCTCAGGTCCCCCAAAGATGACGTAGATGGCCCGTTTCTTCGGGGGCTGTGAGTCCTCCATTGTCTTCTCCTCCTCCTCGAAGCTGTGGTCGTGGTGGTCCCTCTTACGGGGAAACGAGGTGGATGGCGCCTGGCCACCCCCCTTCCTCCATACATTGCCCGACTTCTGGCCCCGGGCCTGTTCCTGCGCCTGGCCGGGCTTCTTAATGAATTGGCCGAGGTAGCCCATTTGGATGAGCTGCTCGATTTGCCTCTTTAGGAGGATGCATTCGTCTGTATCGTGTCCCTTCTGCTGGTGGAACCTGCAGTACTTGTTGGGGTCCCCCCTGGCCGATATCTTCATGCACTCCTCCTTCGGGAATACCACGAGTCCCTGGTCCTCCGCGTGCGCAAAGATGGTACCTAAAGGTTGTATCAGCGGGGTGAGGTAGCGTGTGGGGTTCAGCCTGGGCCCCTCAGCATACTCACGTCGGTGTGGCCGGGGCGCCTTGCGCTCCTCCTGGAGTGCCTTGTCTTTTCGACCTCTTCCTTCCTCCTGCTCTTTCCTCTTCTCGGCAGCCTCGGCGTCAGCGTACCTCGCTGCCTTGTCCATCAGGTCGGTATAGGTCCTGAGGGGGTACCTGATGAGGTCCTGGTGAAAAGAGCCCGACCTCAAGTTGTTCCTGAAAATTACCATGGCCGACTTCCCATCAAAGTCGGCGACCCCCATGGCCTCTTTCTTCCACCTGCTGAGGTACTCGGCTAGTGATTCCGAGCTCCCCTGCTTCAAATTACACAGGTCGGCAATTTGCTTCTTCCGCTGTATGCTGGTGGCGAAATGGGATAGGAACTGTCGGGTGAGGTCCGCAAAGGTGGAGATGGACCCCGCCGGGAGGGATCCGAACCAATCATGCGCCTGCCAATCCAGGGTGGCGAAGAACCCCCTACACAGGATGGCGTCCGTCGCCTCGGTAATCATCATGGCGGCTCTGTACCTGGTCAGGTGTGCCCGCGGGTCTGTGGTCCCCGAGTACGCTTTAATGGTGGGAAAGCGAAAATCTCGAGGTAACGGCTCCTCCATGATGGCGTTTGCGAACGGGGAGGACAACACATCCTAGGGCTCTGGAGATCCGTCCCTCTCGTCGACCTTCTTCTGGAGCTCATCCATCCTCCTACGCAGCTGCTCGACCTCAACCCGGTGGGAGCTCGGAGCTCTACCATTCGTTTCCCCTGATCGTTCGACCCGGGAGGCCTGTGCACGCCGAGGTGGGACTCGGGTCCCCCGCCCCGGTGACCCCCGCGAGGCCCGGGGTCCGTGGCTTGGCGACCTCCGGGTGACTGACTGTCGTCGTGCCTGCCTGCGGGAGCAGGATTCTGCTGGTGGAGGGTCATTAGCGACAGGCCTTGGGCCCAATCTATCGCAGGCTGGCACCCGGCTGCCCATCCTCTCCCTGGCCGGCCTGGTTTGATTTGACCTCCTTCCGTCGTCCTCCTGACGTCGGTCGCGTCGGGAGTCCCCTCCTCCCTGTGTGTCCGTCCGGCGGGGTGAATTGACCTCCCCCTGGGTGACAGGTGCCTGGGGTGGTCGGGCCCCCGAGTGGGGGGAAGGTTGAGGAGATGCGGGTAACCTTCGGTTGACGCCTGGGTCGGCAGGTATTCGCGCTCGAAGGTCCGCCACAACTCGGGCCAACCCAGTGGAGGCTTGCTCGAAGACCGCCACCCCCTCCCAGATGAGGTCCAGGTCCTGAACACGGGGGGCGGGTTCAGGAGTTCCACCACTGCGGGGGTTGGTGAGCTGGGCCCTCAGATATCCCCCCAACCTGGTGGCGGCGGCCGGTTGGATACTGGGGGCAGGGGCCCCGTTGGGGCCATTCCCGTTTGCGACGAGCTGGGTGTCGCGGGAACCGTTGGAGTGGCTCGAGTTGGATCTCGATCTCGTCATAGTAGTTGGTCGCGGTAGACCACTGGATATAGAACACGCTTGAGCTGGTACAGCAGCTCTCAATAAGAGCACCAATGATGGATTTAATTAACACCGGGGTGTGCCCGAATCATTAAATAAGGATAAGAACGTAATATAATAAGAATAATAAGCGAATAATATAGAACGATGTCGTAAAGGTCGCTGGGGATCGTATATTATATTAATTGCCGTAGTATTTGGCTATTACAAAGATCCGATAGGACAAAGTTTGTAATAAGTGTAGAATATATCATGAATCGCCCTTTGTTAGGACAAGGAGGGGGGTTTTTATACAAGTTAAACCCCCAACCTCCTCCCCCCAAATCGGGGGGTGGTTAGATCTTAACTTTAACCGGGACCGGGTGGACCGGGTCGGGTCGGGTCCCGAGCTCGGGTGGTGCCGAGCTAGGGTAGGACCGAGCTCCCCGACCCAAGCTCCACGTAGGTCGGCTCGGGTTGGGGCACCTCCATGGTGCTCCGGGTCCGCGTTGCTCTTGGGCTCCACTAAGGTGCTCCGGGTCCATGTTGCTACCCCGGGTCGGGTCGTGGGTATAATATATCAATCACCTGAGATTTGTACTTAATGTGCGTCATGATAATATGCGTGAGATTTTTACTTAATGTGCGTGAGATTTGTGTTTAATGTGCGTGAGTATTTCAGAATTACGGGCTCAGAAGGAAGTAGAACAGAAACTCACGCACATTAACGCCCAAACTTCTTGTTACTTCTTCCTTCAATTTGGCCATGGATTCTGGATTATTAGCTACCTTCAGTGCAGTTGAATGTTTATATAGATGACGCACGCACAGTAAAATTTGTACAGCAGCTAAGTGTGGATTTCTGTTGTATTCTTCCCATAATTCTTAATCACCATAGCCCGCCTCCGCATCATCATCATCAGGGAGGGGGCAATGGCTACTGGGGATGGAGAAGAAGCTAACATCAATATTTTATGCTGCATTTTACACATTCACGCACATTAAGTACAAATCTCAGGCACATTAAGCACAACACTCACGCAACATCCGCACGGGAAGCATTCATCCGCACGGGATATATATATATATATATATATATATATATATATATATATATATATATATATATATATATATATATAGAGTGAAAGGTTCCCGTGCGGATGTGCGGTGGATTAATGTGCGTGAGATTTGTACTCAATGTGCGTGAGTGTTGTGCTTAATGTGCCTGAGATTTGTACTTAATGTGCGTGAATGTGTAAAATGCAGCAGAAAATATCGATGTCAGCTTCTTCTCCATCCCCAGTAGCCATTGCCCCCTTCCTGATGATGATGATGCCGAGGCGCGGCTATGGTGGTTAAGAATTATGGGAATAATATAACTGAAATTCACACTTAGTTGGTGTGCAAATTTTGTTGTGCGTGCGTCATCTATATAAACATTCAACTGCACTGAAGGTAGCTGATAATCCAGAATCCATGGCCAAATTGAAGGAAGAAGTAACAAGAAACTTGGGCTTCAATGTGCATGAGTTTGCTGTTCTGCTTCCTTCTGAGCTCGTAATTCTGAACTACTTACGCACATTAAGCACAAATCTCACGCACATTAAGCACAATACTCAGGCACATTAAGTACAAAACTCACGCATATTAACATTACGCACATTAAGTATAAACCTCACACACATTAATCCACCACACAACCGCACGGGAAGCCACAAATGCACCTGATCCCTTCCACATATATATATATATATATATATATATATATATATATATATATATATATATATATATATATATATATATATGGAAGCAGTGACTACCACTTTACCACTCCGTTATATTATTTGGGAAGAATATTATTAACTAATTCATTGTGAAGAATGACTAAATACCATTATAAAATGAGATTTGTAAAATATTTTAGTTGTATTAAAAATAATTCAAAAAGTCAAATATCATGTAGTGTGATGGCATTCTAGTTACTATTTCAAAATGATGGTCATAGGTTTGAACCCACTAATATAGAAAAGATACTGCCAATTTTTTTTATTAAAATTAATAATGACAATAAATTTGTAATATTTTAATATATTATGGCCTATAATATTTTAATAATGAAAATTTTTATATTTTTTATTAAAATACATATTACTTATTAGTTTATCAAAATATATTAACATTAATAAAATTTTATTTAAGCATTGCAAATAATTTATTTTATTTGAATAAATTAAGTTGTGTGTATTTTACCAGGACTATGTGGTCCAATGGTACCCGGGTTGGACTTCCATTAGGAAGGTTGTGAGTTCAAGCCTCAGTGGAGGCGTTATTAGCTCTTTGTGTTTCAGTAGGTTGAGAAAGTATATGAATAGATACTACAATCTAATAGAGCTAGTAGCATTCAAAAAAAAAAAACAAAGTTGTGTGTATTTTAATATAAATTTTAAAAATTTATTTGTTAATATTTTTGAATAAATTAAAATATTAAAATTTAATCTTCAACTTTATTTTTGATCAATATAGATTAAATTTTTTTGTCAATATATTATTTTTCGTATTAAACTTCTTAATACAACTAAAATTTTCTACAAGTTCTATTTTATAATGGTATTTAATCGTTCTTTACAATCAAATAACAAAATAAGAGTGTGGTAAATTGGTATTGGTAGCAAAAATAATTAATTTTAAATATTTATAAAATAATATATGAGTTGACATGTAAGTATGATGACGTGACAGAAATAATATCAGCACCACATCATTTATTGTCCTAAACATTATAGTACGAAGATATCATAGGTACTTTGAGGGCGCTGAAATGTCAATGCTCTTATTCAACCTTACACATAACTATATGTGTGCGCGAGCACGTATTATGCTTTGACAACACAGAAGTTCAAGAACCTTGTTTTGCCATCTGAAAAGTTAACGTTTAAATACGTAAAGTTAGACCACGTAATATAAATAATATTAGACACACATGTGTGTGTGTATTCAGAGATACCTGAAAGTAAATCTCAAGTTTTGTCTTAAGAATGTATAATTCTTGCTTCAATCGTTGGAATGCGCTCCTGCAGCTGCAATACATGGACATTTTTTCATTGAGATACCATAGAATAACGTCCTATTTAATTTTACTATACAAATTTATGATATATTGTAATATAACATTATCATTACATTGTATTTCTCTTATGATTTTTTATATTCGATTGTTATATAATGTTATTTGACAAATCTTATAACAAGTTAATTAGATAAAATCATAGGTAGGGACAGTATTATTTAAGATGTTATAATATCCTAACAAAAAAAAAGGCTGAAAGCACATACCCTTCAATGTTTCCAGCATCGCAGTACTGCTTGAATTCTAAACATTCCTTGTTCACCTTTCTGGCACCAATACTGCAAATGGAGTATGTCCAAACTTATTGCCAGCACAAGAAAGACCCTGTACGACGAGCTCGAACGTAAAAGTCGAACTCGTGACCTTCTGATACGAGAATATTGACTCTGTTACATTGTAGTATTTGTTTATACTTATTTTCTCATCCAACTAAAACACAAAGAGTCGCATTTGTGGCCTCTCATTTGGAAGAACCATAATTATGTCGCTCGATCACAAAGTATTTGGCATGCATGGTTATATGTGATACAAAAAGCACAGGTATATTCCCGGCATAAATATTCTCATAATAAAAAATGATTAATTTATCACCTTGAGCAGCTTCCCTTGAACTGAATCATCATATCATCAAGCTTAGTAAAATCTAAAGCTCCACTTTCCCTATACAACAAAAACAAAAATATATTATTTGTGTATTATATATACACACATTTAAAACATGATAATAATAATAATAGTAATAATAATAATAATAATAATAATAATAAATAATAATAAAATAATAATAATAAAAAAATAATAATAATAATAATAATAATAATAATAATAATAATAATAATAATAATAATAATAATAATAATAATAATAATAATAATAATAATAATAATAATAATAATAATAATAATAATAATAATAATAATAATAATAATAATAATAATAATAATAATAATAATAATAATAATAATAATAATAATAATAATAATAATAATAATAATAATAATAATAATAATAATAATAATAATAATAATAATAATAATAATAATAATAATAATAATAATAATAATAATAATAATAATAATAATAATAATAATAATAATAATAATAATAATAATAATAATAATAATAATAATATAATAATAATAATAATAATAATAATAATAATAATAATAAATAATAATAATAATAATAATAATAATAATAATAATAATAATAATAATAATAATAATAATAATAATAATAATAATAATAATAATAATAATAATAATAATAATATAATAATAATAATAATAATAATAATAATAATAATAATAATAATAATAATAATAATAATAATAATAATAATAATAATAATAATAATAATAATAATAATAATAATAATAATAATAATAATAATAATAATAATAATAATAATAATAATAATAATAATAATAATAATAATAATAATAATAATAATAATAATAATAATAATAATAATAATAATAATAATAATAATAATAATAATAATAATAATAATAATAATAATAATAATAATAATAATAATAAAATAATAATAATAATAATAATAATAATAATAATAATAATAATAATAATAATAATAATAATAATAATAATAATAAAATAATAATAATAATAATAATAATAATAATAATAATAATAATAATAATAATAATAATAATAATAATAATAATAATAATAAAATAATAATAATAATAATAATAATAATAATAATAATAAATAATAATAATAATAATAATAATAATAATAATAATAATAATAATAATAATAATAATAATAATAATAATAATAATAATAATAATAATAATAATAATAATAATAATAATAATAATAATAATAATAATAATAATAATAATAATAATAATAATAATAATAATAATAATAATAATAATAATAATAATAATAATAATTTTTTAGAAAATACTTACAGTGCCAATTCTATGTTGTGAATCTTCATAGTTGAATGGTTGTAGAACAATCTAACAACTTCCTCCAGAAAATTAGGGTTAGAATCATCTTGCAATTCTTCAAGCCGAATGAATTGATCGTCAATGTATCCCTAAGAATTGAAATCCATTTCAATGGATATACCCAAATTAACAATTACTATGTACTATTCAATAATTTTATTTATTTATTTAATTTTTCCTTGATACCAAAAAAAGAAAAAAAAGAAAAAATGAAAGATTAAAAGAAAATTCTTTCTTATATATTTTGCTCTGAGAAATATACCATAAAGGGATTAAATACCCAGCCTAAAATGAAGAGAGTTGTCTGTTTAACATCTAAAAACATCCTCAATAGAAATAGTTTTTGAGGAATTTTTACAGGTGTGAGTAGGAAATAATAAAAGATGAGAGGGAAGGAAAAAAAAAAAAAGAAAAAGAAAAACAAAATCCGAAAAACTTGCACCTCACACGATCAATTTTCATATTTGGTGGGGTTCATTTTAAAGACTATAAATCAGTTCTTGCAGGGAAATCTCAATCTTTCTCTCTCCCCATTCTCTCTCTTCCACTTCAGCTCAGATCTCCTAACAAACTAGCAAAAATCACTGATGGAGACCTCTAAGAGGTTACAGGGGTATTCTTCATTATTTACCCTTTTAAGTTGATTCAATGCATCTAAAAAGAGACTTATACATTGCAGTTACAAATATTTTCAATAAGAAACGAATCACGGTGAAGAGCATCTTAGCTTGATGACCATTACTTCAAATTATTTGAGAATGATATAGCTAGGGGAGCTTTATGCATCCCATTCATTTCAAAGTGTAACTTGAAAGACTATTCAATGTGTCAAAATTTACAGCAATGCCTCAAAATGGGTGATTGAGTGGGTGAATCATGATTCTTGCACTAGGTCAAATGTTATATATGAATTAATTAATTAATATTTAATCCTCGTCAACACCTTCTTATTCAAGCCCGTCGCAGGGTCTTCCTAATTCGATTTAAGTAAGTTTCTTGTGAGGCGGGTGTGCAAAAGAGTGCATTTACTATGCACACTATATATTATGTAGGGGTTGTGAATTTTCCTTTAATACCCAAAAAATTTACAACAATAGATTAACATTTTACAATGCCGTATAGTGTGATATAGTACCATACATACAATATTATACAAATTCCTCTAACATACACACACATATGCAAGATCGATCAGATTATCAGATATAATAATTCGATCCCTCACGGGTTTAGCTCAATGGTTCAGTAGACAGTATTTGACAGAAGAGAACAAGGTTCGAACTTCGGCAGCGACACTGTGGGGATTATGTCCAAAGTGGGCAGATCCCTGGTGCGCACCAGCATGACACTGTGGGGATTATGTCCAAAGTGGGCAGATCCCTGGTGCGCACCAGCATTTGGCCATGTCTGTTGAGTCATTGAGTCACCGTGATTTACATCATCCCAAATGCTCTACCGGGCCGGGATGTGGGGACCCTTAGAGTTGGGGATTTAATGGAAAATGATTTACATCATCCCAAATGCTCTACCCGGCCGGGATGTGGGGGCCCTTGGAGTTGGGGATTCAATGGAAAATATAATAATTCGAAATATTTATAGTCAATCAATTATAGTAATATTCCCAAAACTTGATGTAAAGCCATGAATATCAAAATACCTGATCAAAGAGGCTTTTCCTCAAGTTAGCAGCTTGGCTTGGCATTGGAGTTTTCTGACAATGCTATTCTTTGTGTATTGTGAATATATATTGGCTTCTTTGAATATTTGAAGTTTGGAAAGCAGTCATATATAGTTGGTGTGTATATATAGGGAAGGAAATCAACTATATTGGAATACAATATATGATTGTTGAGAATCAATCATAGCATAAATTTAGGAATCTATTATATATTGTGAGGACATTAGTATGGAAAAAAACATTAATCTTGTACGAGTACTATATATAGTATCTTTTGAATATAAAGTAGTACAATTTACTCTAAAAGAGAATTTCGTTTTACCAAATTAATACTATAGTAGCCAAGCACCTTGTGCTCAGATGACATGTAATAACCTCTTTCATGTGGAAGGTCATGAAATCGAGTCTCAGTGGAGGCGTGGTTGACTTTTTGTGCTTCATTGGGTTGAGAAAGTATGTTTGAATATATACTAAAATGTAATAGAGCCAGTAGCATTAAGAAAAAAAAAATTAATACAATAGTAAAAGAATGTATTATAGTACAATACATTTACAAGAAGCAAAATAAAGAAGTTGGTACGGTGAAAATATACACAAAAGATCTAAGGTGAATTAATATTCTTCTCGCTTTCTTGTTTATGATCTTGAACTAGAGAGGGATAAGTTAGATGTTTTTGGTGTATGGAGTTGATTGTTTCTGTCCTTAGGTACCAGATGGGGATATGGGACTCTAGGGGTCCATTTTATTGGGAAAGTATTGACCCAAGTGGGGGTGGTGAAAGAAGGATGTTGGACCAAGTCTTGTTGGGCTAGGAAGAAAAGCACGCATGGTGGGCCGGGGTGAAGAATATGGACCGGAAGGCGGGAGGAAGTAGGTGCGGGAGGTAGGTACGACGTGAGGGGGAGGTAGGGGGGAGGTAGGTACGATATGAAGGGGGGAGGTAGGTACGGCGTGAAGGGGGAGGTAGGTACGACATGAGGGGGGTAGGTACGGAGTGAGGGGGTAGGTAGGTACGGCTGAGGGGGGGAGGTAGGTGCGGCGTGCATGGTGGAGGATGCGGGAGTCGCGGGGATAGTGGCGACGTGACATGCATGGCGACAAACAAGCGGAGTGGGGGAGGAGCAACGTGGGACACGTGGACGCCAGAGGAGGAGGGCGGCTTGCTATAAATAGGGGCCCTGGATCTTTGGCTAAGGGGCAACTCAGACACGATAAGCACTACAGTCTAGTGGTTTTGGTCTTGTACTCTCAATCCAGTCACCTGGGTTCGATTCCTACCAGTAGCATAGTTCGCTATAGCCCATCCTGTGGGCCTTGTTCTTTGTAATTGGGTTGCCATTCTGGGCCTGTACCTCGGGCTTTTGTACGCATTGTTCTGGGCCTAGCGCCCTACCCCCCGTCCTATGTTCCTATACCCGGTTTATGGTGGACCCGGTCCCAATAAAACCATCATTGGCACCGTCTGTGGGGCTCGCTACGATTAGCCCGTGTTTGTAGTCTCTACCATCCTAGCAAGGTTCCGAGGTACGCCCAAATGGTTGATTCGCAAGAGGAGCTACCCTATAAGGTAACACACTTAGCACATCGAGACGCTACTCTGGTGAGCACACTTGAACACTTAGTTAGGTAAAGATTGTGTTTATTTTCCCGAACTATGTGCCCCTATGTGCTCCTATGTGCTCTGCATGCTTGGCCCACGGCCACCTCAACTATATGCTCATATGTGCTATGCACGCTTGACCCGCCGCCACCTCAACTATATGCTCATATATGCTCTGCATGCTTGGCTCGCGGCCACCTCAATTATGTGCTCTTACGTGCTATGCATGCTGGCTCTACGGCCATGGCGGATGGGGCATGTGGGTTATCGCAACCCACATGCGCAGACTTGCCCCCGGCAAGCCGCATGGTTTTGGCGAATGGGGCATGTGGGTTACCGCAACTCACATGCGTGGACTTGCCCCCGGTAAGCCGCATGGTTTTTGGCGGATGGGGCGTGTGGGTTATCGCAACCCACATGCGCGGACTTGCCCCTGGCAAGCCGCATGGTTTTGGCGGATGGGGCATGTGGGTTATCGCAACCCACATGCGTGGACTTGCCCCCGGCAAGCCGCATGGCGTTGGCGGATGGGGCGTGTGGGTTATTGCAACCCACATGCGCGGACTTGCCCCCGGCAAGCCGCATAGCGTTGGCGGAGGGGGCGTGTGGGTTATCGCAACCCACACTACCCTGTCCTACAATCTTCACTTACCTTCATCCTTAAAAAAAAAAAAAAAAAGTTGCATGCAGGTGTAGCATGGAGAAGGAGCAAAGACATCCATTGAATATTTAAAAGAAGCATGCAGGTGCATCATGGAAAAATCGACAAAGCATACTAAATAAATGCAACAAAAGAGATGTACAGTGCAAGAAGCATCCAAGAAGAGACAATAGAGGAGTCACCTTGACCTCTCGACACTAGGCGATGAAGCGAAGGCCAGGGCAACATGCAGTGTGTGGCAGAGGTACGGAGTAATGGCGTGACGCACAACAATGGTGGTAATGGAAGGTGGTGGCGAGAGGTTGAGAAAGGGAAAGAAAGGAGGTGGTGATACCGAATTCTACTTCTTTTAGGCATCAAGATACCTAAAAGAAGTGGGGGACTTGTGATGGGGATATCATGAAAGCTTGGGAACTAGAGGTTGAGTTTGGGAAAGAAATGAGGTAGTTGTACCGAATTCTACTTCCTTTAGGCATCAAGATGCCTAAAAGAAGTGGGGGACTTGTGATGGGGATATGGGACCCTAGGGGTCCATTTTATTGGGAAAGTATAGACCCAAGTGGGGGTGGTGAAAGAAGGAGGTTGGACCAAGTCTTGTTCGGCTAGGAAGACAAGCACGCATGGTGGGCCGGGGTGAAGAACATGGACCGGAAGGCGGGAGGAAGTAGGTGCGGGAGGTAGGTACGACGTGAGGGGGGAGGTAGGTACGATATGAGGGGGGGAGGTAGGTACGGCGTGAGGGGGGAGGTAGGTACGACATGAGGGGGGTAGGTATGGCGTGAGGAGGATGGGGGCTTGCTATAAATAGGGGCCCTGGATCTTTGGCTAAGGGGCAACTCAGACACGATAAGCACTACAGTCTAGTGGTTTTGGTCTTGTACTCTCAATCCAGTCACCTGGGTTCGATTCCTACCAGTAGCATAGTTCGCTATAGCCCATCCTGTGGGCCTTGTAATAGCTATTACCTTATTTGAGGTAATAGGCTATTACCAGGAATATTATTCCTGGTAATAGAAATGGTTACCAAACAAATGAATATGCGTATTACTGGGAATGCTATGTCATTCCCGGCCTATTTCGCGAACCAAACGGGCCATTACTATAACTATCACTATCACTGTTACTGTTACTATTGGGTTGCCATTCTGGGCCTGTACCTCGGGCTTTTGTACGCATTGTTCTGGGCCTAGCGCCCTACCCCCCGTCCTATGTTCCTATACCCGGTTTATGGTGGACCCAGTCCCAATAAAACCATCAGTACCCCTTTGTTAATTTGAAGAAAATAAATGTAAAAATGAGTTTGTTACACTTTTGATATATCAGTTAAACAACTGTATATTGTTGGAAATAAGATGAATCAAGTCGATTTATCAAAATTATATATATATATATATATATATATATATATATATATATATATATATATATATATATATATATATATATATATATATATAGGGAAGGGATCAAGTGCATTTGTGGCTTGCCATGCGGTTGTGCGATTGATTAATGTGCGTGAGCTTTGTATTTAATCTTGTGCTTAATGTGTTTGAGCTTTGTACTTAATGTGCGTGAGTGTGTAATGTTAATGTGCGTGAGTTTTGTACTTAATGTGCCTGAGTCTTCTGTTTAATGTGCCTGAGATTTGTACTTAATGTGCGTGAGTAGTTCAGAATTACGAGCTCAGAAGGAAGCAGAACAGAAAATTTTCAGTCTCCTTTTTCACAATCTTTGAAGCTTTCATTAGCAGCTTCACTCTCATTAGCAGCCCCTCAGTATGCAAAGCAAAACAAGACAAAATTCATTCATCCACCACTTCGAAACAAAAACAAGAAGAAAATGCAGCAGTGGATGCACATAATTTTCACAGCAGTGGATGAAGAACACACTCACGCACATTAAGCACACAACGACTCACGCACCTTAGGCACAAGACTCGCTCATCTTAAGTACAAAACTCACGCACATTAACCTTACACATTCACGCACATTAAGTACAAATCTCAGGCACATTAAACACAATACTCACGCACATTGAGTACAAATCTCACGCACATTAATCAACCGCAGAACCGCATGGGAAGCATTCAAACGCACAGGAACCTTTCATTATATATATATATATATATATATATATATATATATATATATATATATATATATATATATATATACACACACCCACACATACATATCAACTAAAATGGAATTCATAATCCTCCATATTATAATGATATTTCAACCAACAACTATATACAAAATATAGTACAAGGATTTGATGCTTAGAGCATAATCCCAAAATCGAAAGAAGACGATGAAGATAGAGGGTTAATACGAGTAGAGCGAAACACCCTTTCCTTAAAACCTTATTTGCTATCTCCCAAAAGTGCTAGGAGCGTTGTAGCCTAGGTTTCCCAGGATAAAACGTACTACGGTTCAACGTTTGAGCACCCAAACGAAGAACCCGGCGAACTAGAGCAAGGCTTAGAACACAGTAACAAAAAAGGAGTAGAAGTAGAGAGTTTTGGAGCTTAAACCATGCAAGTGTGTATGCTAATTGTTGTGTCTCTTGTTCACTCGTTTTTAAATTTGCTACCCCTACACTAGCTTATATAGGAGATAAAGTACTTAATAGCATTCATGATGGCATTCAATACACATTTTGTAACATTTGAAACAACAACCATTATTTGAGATTTAATTCACAAAATTAAAATTGGAATTAATACAAAATTAATTCCATAACAGATGAATTGAATCACCAACAGTCCAGAACGAATCTGGTAGACCAAACCAACGAATGGTTCATGCTGTTTCAACTCGACCTTGGCCGAATCACGAGTCGAACCCTCGTGCTGCTCAACCGCAGTACACGAGAGTCGAACTCTCCTCTCGTCTTGGACCAAATATATCTACGATGCTCCTTGACGCTAGAAGTGT